AACTGAGCGCATTTTAAATGTGCTGCGATCATGTTCATCGCCAGTGGTATGCCATTCCCACTGGGGGGGGCATGCACAGTGGTATGCATGTTTTTTAAAAAAACAAAAACATAATCAGCTATATATCGTTTAATCATTGGAACAAGGTAACTGACTGTTTTACCCGTTAGGCAGAGAGACACTGAATCAATATGGAAGAAATACTACTACTTCCAACTACAATATCTTGTGCAGTAGCTACCTGTGCCAATGGAGGAACCAGATCAGCCTGATGATCATCATTCACTCGAACAATGCGACCTTGTGAAATTTTAACTTTTAACTCGCATACGAGACCATTTTGGTCGCAGTCTGGAGCCCTGGTATCTATTTGCCAATGCTGTCAAAGCTTATTTTAGAGCTAGCTTTAGCCAACATGGCTATTGTTAGCCTAGCTAGCTAGCTGTACAATAATAACATAGTGCAAAGTAGTGCTATTAGCTTCCCGTTCCTATCAAGTTGAAGTAAACAGTTCTCTTTTTTTAAAGTTATTTTCTGTAGTTCAGTTGAGAGAGACAGCCATGAGCGGGACTGCGTCGGGGACTATAGCCACTGAAAATGGGACAGCTTAACCAGCTGAGCTATAGCAGTGCCCAGAAGTAAACATGTTTTTTAGACATTCTTTAATTTTACATGTTAAAAAGAGAATAATAAAAACCCAACTTACCGTGCCAGATTTACTTTTTTATCACTCTTCGACTTTATCACAACTCCGACAAACGCTGAACTCCTAACTGGTCCTGTTTTGTTTTGTTTTGTTTTGTTTTGTTTTAACTGACGATGTATTTGCTTTTACTTGTTGTCATGGTGACATTGACTCGATGACGTCACCACCTTGGCTCATCTACTCTGATTGTCTTTACCGTGAAAAACAACGAAATTAAATGAAACACAATAACACAGCTCTGCTTATTTAGGTTTTAATATATATATATATATACATTTTTATGTTTCTACGCTCGTTATACAATCTTTATTGAAGAAGTTAATTTTCTGACAGCTGTAGACAGCCATAGCTGTAATGAACAGAGACCACTGGGTCTTCATGTAATTTACACACATATAAGTGAATGCAGAAAAAAAACAGGACTTCACATTACTGACTAAACCAAATGCTATTGGAGAAGTGTGGCAGAGAAAAAAGGACAAGCTGGAAGATGTAGTACAAACACTGGAAAGCCTGCAGGAGAGTGTCAAGAAGCTAAAATAACTGAGCAACTTTTTTGAGGAACATTTTAATTAGAATGACATTGCTTTGTTTT